AAGCTGTTTCTACATCTAGCTGTTTAATAATTAATTCTTTTCGACGACAGTATGCCAATACAAGTTCTCTAGTCTGAATTTTAGCAACTAGTGAATGTATATCTTCAACAATTTTATTCTGTTGAAATCCCCTCACAACTAACCTTACTTTATTAACTACATCATTTTTTTGTATAAACCCATTTTAAGTCTAAAACTTTCTTATTAATCGATTTTTCAACTAACCTTTAAGTATTATTTTTAATTAAACAAGACATTTCTCTGTCCATTGCATTTTTCCATTTTTTGAAATCATACGAATTCATCGCATCATCAAAACTTGCTGGACTTTTTGCATTTACATAATAAACAGTACCTCCTCACTACTGGGCACTGCCACGAGGTTTCTGCGAATTGTCACCTTGCCTCAAGTTCATGCTTGAACACTGAGCCTGAAAGTGTCTGATCTTGCCACACTTAAAACATATTTAGTCCTTTTTTCTCTCTGATTTAAATACACGTATCTCTATTACTTATTGCTTCTCTCTTTTTAATTTCAATCATCTTGATTTTACTTTTCACAAATTCACTGTTCAGTCTGATTCTTTCAAAACGTCATCAAATCACTAATGTGACCGAATGAATTTGTCAAAGTTTCTAATATATATTTTAATTTTTCTTTTATACTAAGCGTTGCACCTGCACTTATAAACTCATTTATTAGTTTTTTAAACTTCTTGAAAACACACTTGATTCTTTAAAATTTCTTAATCCTAATCTTTCTAACTTGTTCCTCACACATATTTATAGTGCTGTAGATTCTTTTAGATACATCTCATCGAACTTATTCATTATGCTCGCGGCCGTTTCTTTGTTCTTGATAAATTTAAATTGATCATTTAAGATTGTACAATATATAAAATTCATTGCTTTCAAGTGTTTTTCTAATCATTCTTCTTCTTTATCCGTTGCCTGTTACTCTCTCTTTACCACCTCATCACATTTTTTTAACTTCAAATATATCAAGACTCTTTTTTCCAGAAACTGGTGGTCTTTTATCGTCCTCCATCTTGGCTTCTTTTTCTTTTTCAGATTCTTCTATTTCTTTGAAAACAAACCTTTTTAGTACCAATATATCAGTGATCACTCTTTTACACAATTTCCTTAAACTTTTTTTTGTTGGGTAAACACCTTTTCTAAACTTTTCAATTCTATCCATGCACGTGTCTTCTTTGAATTTCATGGGCTTCGAAGAGAACCATCAAAATCAAAATCAAACGACACTGCAACCATAGGCTCGGCTACCATGTTAATAAAATAAAAGTATGGTGGGGTAGCAAACACAATAAAGAGAACGAATTAACTAATAAATATGTATATTTAACATAACGAATAAAGATAAATAACGATCCTTACAGTTACTCTTACGACACTGAGAGAGGCACGACGCGAGCGTGCATACCTGGCAACGGCCATAATTAGTCTAATACCTCCTTACAATACATACTATTGCTCTTATCGTGTCGCGTATGTCTCGTATATATGCCGTACAGTAGATATCACTAACTACGCCCCATATAAATTTAGTTATATTCTAACAGAAACAGCATACAAACCAGTAGGCAGTCATGGGACATGGGAAAACTTAAAACTATGAATTATATTTTTACGTAAGTTCTGAAATAAATAAGTAACTATCTGAATCGTTGACTGTTTTTGAAATAAGTAATCTAAAATTATAAAATTCATATTATAATGTGGGTTGTAATAATACATATGATAACATGCATATCTCTTCATTATACATATTTTGAATAATGAATTATAAAGTTTATTACACCATAATACAGATATTCCTCAAGCTAGTAATTCTGAATATTATGCGATTTGTCATGAAAATATTTGTTTTTAAATTTTACTACAACAGTTTGTTATGTGGATCAGTAGAAACAGTTGAGTTCGTCAGACGCGTTGATTTTTTGTTACAAGCTACATTCAGACTGTAAAAAAAGGTTAGTTAAAAATTTGTGTGTGCACTCTCGTTCACTTTTTTTGAGACGTTCAAGCTGACTTATCTGTCTCTTCTAACCCACAAAAAGCTCGATTGTTGTAACCTTTACATCTTGTCGATTTTCTGGTTGCCCATGGCGCCTCAAAAACGTCTATTCCTAAACGCAACATCTTCGTGACGACAAAAACGCGGATCTGCCTGGCCAGCAATCCCTAATCTTAGAGCAACGGCTTGCCTTGATCGACCTTTCCCCTTGGGAAAGAGTTTGGTCTACAACCCAACCAAAAGGTATTCTTAAATAAGTTACGCATCATTTTACTCATTCTCTTTCATCAGATACTATTAAAGTTTATCACTATTATTATTTATAATCGAAATGTAATTTCTTGATTTTTTGCCTAAAGGCTTTTTCCTGTCCATGCTGTTTTTCATTGACTTGATAGCCGTAAGCATTTTTTTGAACTTTAATTACGTAAGTGACAACTAAGAGAGCGACGCCTGACCCCTGGGGTCTTACTCTCTTTGCAACGCAAATATGCACAATCATTTAATATCATTTCTTAATGCATTATTTTTTTTTAGAAACTTCAGAGTTGAAAACCATCGCATACGCAACATTTCATGGTGCCTCCTGTGAGGTATGAACTCACGACCTCTGTCAGCCACGTATCACATGAGACATTCTGCAACCACCGCCTTTCCTCACCAACTCCCTGCACCACACCAATTTCCTACTCCTACGATGGATGCTCCTTGCCCTTCTTCAGTGCTACCTTCGGCATTGTCTTCATTATAAGACAGATAAGCTTTCTGTTCATTTACTGACTATCGTCTTTCTCGAACTGCCATTTTTTTTGTATTTATGTACGTGTGTTAGATTTTAACGTCTACATAACCTCGTGTTCATAACAACCAAGATTTGCATCCTGTCGTACGCCGAAGATACAAACGTGTACAATCTTTATTCATCTTTATTGTACAAACGGGCTCGGTTTCGAAGCTTTGCCACATCTTTTGTTCGTCACGTTACACGCATAGTTTGCATTTTATGCATTAAAAACGGAACATCGCTTTCAAAAATCGTTACTCGCAAAAATGGCTCAAGTAAAACGCGTCGCGGAACTGAGGCCTCCTCCTACAGGCGTCGATCCTTCTTTTATCGCGTTAGCAAACTCTACCTTTTTAGAAAAGACAAAGCTTTCGAAGCTTCCGGTTACTGAGATCCCGTTATTTAACGGAAATATCGACAAATGGCTTTCGTTCAAAAATGCTTTCAGTTCAATCGTACGCTTCCGTACGGATTTGGATGATGTTACCAAGCTGACTTATTTATAGAGTGCAATGCGCGGTAAGGCCCTAACCAAAATAGCTCCTCTTGATTTGTCAGCTGAAAACTACTCAAAGGCTTGGAAGCTTCTTATAGACTCGTACGAAAGAAAGCGCGAGCTAGTTTCTAAACATTTAGACGCACTCATCGATATACCTCATTTGCAGAAAGCAACCTCTGTCGGTTTGTCAGCCTTGGTAGACACAGTAGAGCAACATCTCGTTGCTTTGACTGCTCTGGGGATCTGCACTGCTAATTCGAACAATCGAAAGGGCTCTTCCAACTTCCACGCGTAACAGATGGGAGGAATCTCTTTCTCTTGACGAACTTCCAAGTTTGCAAAAATTACTTGATTATATACGAGAAGCGTCTTTTCGGGTTAGTGTTTTAGAGTCAGCTCCTAAGAACTCCGAATTGAGTCAGAAGCGCACATTTGAGCACACCAACTCGCGTCCTAAGAAATTTCAGTGCAAAGAGGTAGAAGCTCGCATATTGACAACCAATACGAAGATCGCTTGCGTTTGTTGCGGTTCCGAGCATTTTCTCATTAGGTGTCCCGATTTTAACAAGTTTAATGTTAGTCAACGTTGGTCACTTGTTAAAGAAAAAAAATTGTGCTCGAATTGTTTACGAATTCATCAAGGTGTTTGTCAATCTAGCCTTTGTAAACGATGCAACAAAAAGCATCATACCTCGCTACACAATAATTCAAAGATAAACAGTATGGCAAACACGACCCCCTCTTCTAGTACAGTTCAATCGCCTAAAAATCCTTCTACGTCCGCTGCTAATTTTTGACTAGGAAAAAAAAGGTTAAGCTCAGCTGTAAGCAATGTGCACTCTCAGCTTATGGCAACAGCTAGCGTTAACGTTTTAAATGCACAGAGAAAGTTTATACGCACTCGCGCTTTGCTTGATACGTGCTCTACCGTGCATTTGATTTCGTCTCGTTTAGCCAATTCATTAGGCTTGCCCTTCGAAAATTTCTCTGTTACAATCGGAGCAATAAACGAGTTCGGTACAGAATGTAACCAAAGCGTCAGTATACAAATTAAGTCTATTTACAATAATTTTTCTAAAATACTTACTTGCTTAATTATTTCTCGGATTGCAAGTTTTGTACCTTCTGAAAAGTTTCCGCGTCATTTAATTAAATTACCGAGTAATATTCAACTTGCTGATCCGCAATTTCACATGCTAAGTGGTGTTGATTTGTTAATTGGCTCAGGAGCTACATTTTCGCTGTTTTCTGTAGGCCAAATAAAACTAGCTACCGATCCATGTGATCTTTTTGCTCAGAAATCGTTATTAGGGTGGATTTTCGCTGGAGGGCTTCAACGCAATTTTTTAAAAGATTTTTCTTTTTGCAATTACACCATTTTTGAGGCTAAAAGTACTCGTAATGAACAGTTTGAGGAGTTGACACAAATTATGACTAAATTTTGGGAAATAGAAGAAATCCCATGTAAAAAAGATATCAAGCGAGCAGAAGAATCGTCAATCGAAAATCATTACATTCAAAATACTACCAGAGATCCCAGTGGGCGATATGTCGTTCGTTTGCCGTTTCGTGTAGATAAAATAGACTTTGGTAATTAAAAAATTACAGTGTTACGTCAATTTTATTCGCTCGAACGACGTTTAAACGCGAATCCTGAACTGCGAACCGAATATTTTCGAGTTATGCAAGACTACATAGATCAGGGGCATTTGTCAATCGTCCAAAATGAAAGTGAACAAGGTTATTTTATGCCACAACATCCAGTGCTCAAGCCATCGAGTTCTACTACTAAAGTACGAGCCGTTTTTAACGCTTCTTGTAAAACCGATAAAGGACTTTCACTTAATGATGTGCTTATGGTGGGCCCTACCATCCAAGATAAGCTTTTTAATCATTTATTAAGATTTCCAACTTACGCTTTCGTCATGACGGCAGACATAGCACAAATGTATCGGCAAGCTTTAGTAGATCATCGGGATAGAAAGTATCAACGTTTATTTTGGTACGACAGTAGCGGACAAATTAAACCCTTTGAGATGAACACAGTGACTTTTGAAAATGCTTCAGCTACCTTTCTAGCGATCAGAACTATACAAAAATTAGCCGAAGACGAAAGCGTGAAGTTCCCTTTAGCATGGGCCGTTTTAAAACGTCATTTTTACGTTGACGATCTTCTTACCGGTTCGAATTCACTCGAAGAAATGCGACAAATACGAGAACAGGTAGTTTGTTTGCTAGATATCGCCGGTTTCGATATTAGAAAATGGGTTTGAAATGATCCATATATTTTTGATAACGGCGAAGAAAAAATATTTCGCGGAGAGCAAATTAAAGAGTCAATTTCTAATTCAAAAACACTCGGAATCGTATGGAACTCAAGACGGGATGTGTTCGTTTTTTCAGTCAGGCCTATTATCACGCTACAAATAACTAAGCGGCATATTCTCTCAGAAATCGCGAGAATTTTCGATCCGTTAGGTTTGATCGGACCGGTCGTTTTCGCAGCTAAGGTTTTAATGCAAAGGTGTTGGCGAGCGGAGATCGATTGGGATGAATCAGTTCCAAACGAATTGCACACTTCTTGGACAAGGTTTACCAATCAAATAGGTCTAATACAAGATTTTATGATTGAACGCAAATTAGTCATTGATAGTCTTGTCCAAGCAGATGTTATCGGTTTTTGTGACGCTAATCAATTGGGTTATGGCGCTTGCCTTTATATAAGATTAGTAGACGAGGCTGGTAAGGTTATGGTAAATCTTGCATGTTCTAAATCACGCGTAAGACCTATTAAAGGTTCATTTACCATACCTCGCTTAGAATTATGTGGCGCTTTACAGCTTGTTAGATTATTTCGAGAAATCTATGAAACTTTTGAATTTCCTATTCAAAATATTATTTTCTGGTGCGATTAAACTATCGTACTTCATAAACTTAAAAAATCGGCCCGTGACCTGGAAGTTTTCGATGCAAATCGAGTAGAGGAAATTCAAACGCTTGATAGCAAAGTAAAATGGCGACATGTAAGATCTACTGACAATCCCGCCGATGCTTTATCTCGCGGTCAAACTCATGTTCAATTTTTACAAAATCCGAAATGGCTTTCGGGTCCCAATTGGTTAGCAAAGTTCGAATCACAATGGACTAAAGGCATGATTATTACAGCACCTAACTCTATTTCACGCAGTAATTGCTTAGCTACTGTCATTCAAGATGATCTGTTTTCAAGATTTTCCGATTTTAATAGTTTGACTAGATTTATAGCTCGAAGTCTACGATTTAAGGTTGCAAATCAGCGTTTTCGTGGGAAAGATATTAGCGTAGAAGAAACGTTGGGAGCAGAAACGGTGATTTTATGACTCGTGCAAGCAGAGCGTTTCTCGCTACAAGTAAATCTCATCAAACAAGGAAAGGAATCGCGTTTAAAGGCTTTTAATCCTTTTTTGGATGCAGACGGCATTTTAAGGGTGGGTGGCCGGCTTCGAAAGTCTTCGGTCTCCAGGGATTATAAATGCCCGATACTTTTGCCTTCCGAGAATCCTATTACTGATCTGATTATACGTAAAATTCATATGTCAAATGGGCACCTAGGAATTCAATCCGCTTTAAGTTTTATTAGACACAAATTTTGGATTTTAGACGGAAAAAATCAAGTACGCAAAATAGTTCGGCAATGTGTGACTTGTCTTATGTAAACCTAAATTAATTCATGCCCAAATGGGTGATTTACCAGAATCTTGAGTTAATCCCGCACCGGCATTTAGCAAAGTGGGTACTGATTTTTTCGGTCCAATATTCATTAAAGAAAAAAAATTTCGAAATTGTAATAAAGTAAAGGCCTATGATTGTGTTTTTATATGCCTGAGCACAAAAGCAGTGCATATTGAAATTATTAGCGGTCTCACTACTGAAGGTTTTCTCGGAGGTTTTAGACGTTTTATCGCCCGTTGAGGAATTCCTGGACATGTATTTTCCGATAACGGCTCTAATTACATCGGAGCAAAAAATAATTTGAAAGAGTTCTATGATTTTTTTAATTCCAGAGACTTTTAACGTGACTTAAACAAATACGCCGTGCAAAAAAATATCGTTTGGCATTTTTCTCCACCTTTATCACCGCATTTTGGCAGTCTCTGGGAAGCTACAGTTAAGCTTTTCAAGCATCACCTAAACAGAGTCGTCGGTAAAAATTGCTTACTTTTGAATAACACAGTACGTTAGCTACCGAAGTCGAAGGCATTTTAAATTCACGGCCTATTTGTTCTTTGTCGTCCGATCCAAACGATCCATAAGTTCTCACTCCATCACATTTATTAGTAGGCAGGCCTATTACTCTGTTGCCCACTTATGATTTTGCTGATATTCCAGAAAACCGTTTACCCTATTGGAACTTCATTTCAAGAGCAAGAGAAGAGTTTTGGGAGCGATGGTATATCGAGTATTGAAATAAGCTTCAAAAAAGACAGAAATGGCAGGGAGAGAAAGGAGAGATTAAATTAAATTCAGTTGTATTTCTAATGGAAAAAAAGATCGCCTGCGCTAATTAGCGGCTGGGTAAGATTCACCCTGGAGATGATAGTGTGGTGCGTGTGGCTTCAATTAAAACAAAGAACGGAATTTATAAGAGAAATATCACGAATCTTTGTCAATTGCCAGATGAAGAAGTTGCTGAATCTTAATAGCATTTTTATAAGTTTATTTTCTGCCTTAAGTGTAAATTTTTGCCTCAATCATTTAAATATTTGTTTTTAAGCATTGAAATTTCAATACCAATTTTGTTATTAGTCATTGTTTTTAAGAAATCTCGTTTTCTTTCATTAATCATGTTTAAAAATATTTTGTACAATAGTATTTGTTATGCCATTAATTAACTTATTTGTTGTTAAAATAAATATAAGTGTTTAATTACTTACTTTACTGGTACACCTGTTTACACATTATAATCTCACCTTCATAATACCATATTTGAGGTACAATATTTACCTGGCTCTTCCTTCCGTTTCGCGACCGCGGGGGAGTATGTTTTGTGGATCAGTAAAAACAGTGGAGTTTATCAGACGCGTTGATTTTTTGTTATAAGTTACATTTGGACTGTGAAAAAAAGGTTAGTTAAAAATTTGTGTGTGCACTCTCGTTCACTTTTTTTGAGACGTTCAAGCTGACTTATCTGTCTCTTCTAACCCACAAAAAGCTCGATTGTTGTAACCTTTACATCTTGTCGATTTTCTGGTTGCCCATGGCGCCTCAAAAACGTCTATTCCTAAACGCAACATCTTCGTGACGACAAAAACGCGGATCTGCCTGGCCAGCAATCCCTAATCTTAGAGCAACGGCTTGCCTTGATCGACCTTTCCCCTTGGGAAAGAGTTTGGTCTACAACCCAACCAAAAGGTATTCTTAAATAAGTTACGCATCATTTTACTCATTCTCTTTCATCAGATACTATTAAAGTTTATCACTATTATTATTTATAATCGAAATGTAATTTCTTTTACTCAAATGAACCAGATTTTTTGCCTAAAGGCTTTTTCCTGTCCATGCTGTTTTTCATTGACTTGATAGCCGTAAGCATTTTTTTGAACTTTAATTACGTAAGTGACAATTAAGAGAGCGACGCCTGACCCCTGGGGTCTTACTCTCTTTGCAACGCAAATATACACAATCATTTAATATCATCATTTCTTAATGCATTATTTTTTTTTTTTTTTAGAAACTTCAGAGTTTAAAACCGTCGCATACGCAACACAGATACGAAGGAGTGAGAAATAATTTACACATAGCTGCTTGACCACGCGCTTTCTGTCTCACTCACTCTCATGCTATCAGATGGAAATACCTCTATTAATTTTCATCTATAAATTTTGTGATAGTCTAAACAAAAAAAAAATACGAAATCGACCGTAAATTTTCTGTTCTACGCGTTAGCACTTTTTTTGTCCTATTTCGTACAGTTTACGAGATATTTGCAAAATAAACTTGAAACACTAGTTTATTGGCGTTCAATAGAGCTTTGACGTATTTCACTAATTTTTCCGTAATTCACAAGTTTCATTGTTGTAATATAAAAAATGTCACTTTAGAAATCAATTTTGAGTTTCAGAGAATTTTCCATTAGTCTAGTATGTTTTCATCTACTCTTCTTGGTATACTGCGTTCGGACCGTGTTTGAATCTACTTCGGTTGCCAAACGTTTAGTTGCTTACTATCACATTTTTACCCAAGTCAAATCGGAACCGAATCGACTACCACACTTGGCCCGCAGATAGGTTGTGTCAAACGGCGAACGTTTGCCAACTGACCCATTCCTGATCATAATAAATCGTCCTTAAGGTGTTAAAACATCGGCATCAATGATGTCATCATTACCTAGAACCACTCGAACGCTCAATCCAACTTCTTATAAAATTGTACTGTTATTTATCAAATGCTCCTCCGAATCGGATTCCATTGCCTTAGTACTGCCTGTGAAATTAAAGCGAGTTTTTTTGCATGACCGATATTCCACAATTTACGTTGCCTGTTACGAGTTGTTAAATCTAATATTTTTTTCTAAAATAAATCCGATGATTCTAGCATTTACACTCAAGCTAATATAGCTCTTCTTATCTTCTCTTTCGCTCTAACTCATATTTGAGACATTGGTGTTAGTAACTTCTCCAATGGCAGCATCAAATTATTTTGAATTTGTATCTCTATCAATTTCTCAGTAATTTTTATTAATGAACAACTTTTTTGTGACACATCTTTTACTGTTTCATGCGACCCGTAAATAATTGAAAAGGAAATTAACAGCTAAAAGGAATCATAAATATTTCTTAAAGTAAAAATCTCTTATACAGGTGCTCCTTTGTTAAAAAATAAATAAATACTGCTTCAAATTTAGATATAGGACATGACTACTTAAATAAAAATCTAAAACTGCCAATATTTCGAAATCCTTCAGATGTCCTTTTTAGGGCTACATAGTATAAAAGTATACAAATATTTGTAGCTCGTGTAAATAAAAACAAATATAACATTCAATTACAAATGTACAAAACAGGTAGAAACATAGAATAAAAAACTGTAGAGATTTAATACTAGGTAAGAGAAAAAGAGAGAGAATGCGAAAAACATTTGTGTAGGATGAAATATACGTTGAATACACAAAAAATAAAACTATGCAGTCAAAAAAAACTAAAAATAAATGCACTTAAAGAAATTTGTGTTTCAAGAGCACAAGAACCTCTTATATACAGGTCTTGACTTTTAGTATCAAGCTGTCAATTAACAT